GCCTTGGCTAGCTGCTATTACCAACCTCCTGCCTCTTCCCTTCAGTGAGATCTACCCCCAGGGACCCTGCTTCTGTCCCTCTAGCCCCCCCTCCAGCCCCCCTCCCCTGTGAGTGCAGAGGACACCCACTGGTGCTCTCCTCACACTCTCCCCATCTGTCACTGGAGGCTTCGGTGGACATTTGAGGGTCAGCTTCATGGGACATCTGGAGGTCTAGAGTAGTAAACGACAAGGGAAGCTCAAGCTTGGCAGTGTGGTTTGAGTCATGAGTCATGAGTCACGAGAGCATGAGTTTTATATTCCTGGTGAGTGTATGGTTGCACAGATCTAGAATCCCCAGTGGAGGATAGGCAGAGGCTGAGAAGAGCTGAGCCTGGGGCTGGAATGGAGAGCAAAGGCCCAGCCTTAGCGAGGCTAAGGATGAGCAAGTCCTCAGAGGGAAAGACAACCAGGCTGTCCCACATCAGAGTCTAGGTGCCAGACGTTAAGTTATAGGTCGTTCCCATTTTTGGAAACTTGAGTTTCTTATGGGGACATGTGAGCTGTGAAGCAGGTCACCTTCGAGGGGCCCTCTGGTTCTCTGGCCATCACACAGGGAAGACGGAGTCCGGTGTGGCCAGAGAGCCTTGGCAAAGCAGAGCAGGCCACAGCTGAGTCTGATTCAAGTTCTTGTATCTCAAGGCCACAGGAACATGGCTCTCATTGGCATGATCCAAGTCGAACTTCCCAAGTGGCACAATTCCAGAGATGGTGCAAATTCCCCTGGGTGAAGGTTCCATTGAGCAATGTGGCTCTCATCGGGGTAGAATAAAGATCCTTCCCACACCTCATCCCCACACAGCTTCTTAGAAGAGAAGGTGAGCTAGGATAGCACTTCCTTTCTCTACAGACAATGCCAACAGTCTGGGGAGCAATTCATTATGATTCCGACAGTGCATGGAAAGCTGCTCTAATTAATTCACCAAGTTCTATGCCAGAAGCAGAGACATGGTGTTTAGAGACAGCCAATCAGAGGAAGGATCTGGGGATGAGAATGTAGGACTCAACCTCTCCTCACCCCAGTTAAGAACCAGTACCCACTTCTCCCCAACCAGGCTGCTTTCCGTTCACCTGGAGTCGAGAGGCCTGGAGGTTTGGTGGTGGTCAGATAGATGAGGAGCAAAATGAGACCTTCCATCCATTTTCTTCCCACGTTCCCTGAACTCTGCTGCTGCCATCTGCCCCTGGGCCTGTTCAGCAGCTTTCCTGCAAAGCTGGGGTAACACCCACAGGAATTCCCATCCATGGAGTGTCCAGCTGCAGAGCACACCTGTAAGGTATGCCACTGCCCGGCCAATGCCCACAGCCTCTCTAGGAGGAAGCCCCAAGCAGGCCTAGGCTGGGCTGGGGTTGTGGACTGCCCAGGAAGGCTGGAGCCTTCAGTCAAGGGATAGGTGGATGAAGCTCTCCTGGCCTCACCTTTCTCTCTCCTCTGCTTTGCTGAGGACAATGCTCACTCATGGCATGAGGAAAGCCCTGGACAGGGCATCTGGGCATCCATTTAGGGGGAGATCCTGCTGCTGGCTGGACTCTTCTCTGTCGCAGGTGTTGTTCCCCAGTGACAGCAGGAAGGAGTTCCTTGGGGAAACTTCCGCTGCACTTGAGAGTTTCTGTCTCTGCTAAGAGACAGAAACCGAGTGCATCTCCTCTGGGGTTGGGAGAGGAGACTGGTGAATCAAGGTTCCCCCACAGTCCCGATGCCCTTGGGGGCAGTGGAGGACAAGGGTTGGGCAAAGTCAGTTGGCCACTCCAGGCTTTGTATTTCCTAGGTGATCCTGAGTGGTGATGAACTTCTGTGACTCCATCTTCTTCCTATAAAATGGGAGTGATGATACTTACCTTGTTGGGAAGGGAGGAGCTGTGACAACAAAGTGGCATGGGTATGTGAGGCAGGGGGCAGATGAGGGTTGTCTACTACTGCTATTTATGGGGAAATGAGAAGGAGCTAGGTAGGCATGGCCCAAACACCCCCCATGTCTCCCCTCCTCTCTAGGCTCTGCTGCTTGTGTGCTCTCGGCTGGCCAATGTCTCCCCCACAACACTGGATTACCATCAGATGAGTTGGAATCATGTGGCCATATGTTACACATCTGGGTAGTAACTGTTTATTGTCTTGTCTACCCTCCCTAGAGCACCAAGACTGTCCTGAGGCATTGCCAAACCCACAATACATAGAAGTACACTTGGGGCTAGGAATTTGAGTAGGAGCTAGTGGTTCATGCCTGTAACCAGAGCTACTCAGGAGGCTGAGGTCTGAGGATCTTGGTTTAAAGCCAGTCTGGCCAGACAAATCCAAGTGGCTTATCTCCAATTAACCAGCAAAAAGCTGGAAGTGGAGATGTGGCTCAAGAGGTAGAGCACCAGCCTTGAGTGAAAAAAGCTAAGAGAAGCCCTGAGTTCAAAAGCTCCAGCAGTAGCATGAGGACATGCCCAAACACTCCCACCCCACCCCACACATCCACACACCCACACCTGGAATCTACTTGAGTCAGGCACCAGTGGCTGAAGCCTATAATTCTAGCTACTTAGGACAAAAAACTGTGGTAGATTTAATTTTCAAAATTACCAGCCAAAAGCCTAGGTAGAGGCAAGGCTTAAGTGGAAGGGCACTAGCCAAGAAAGCTCAAACCTAGGACTGCAAAAAGCAAATGTACTTGCAACAAGAACTAGGAAGGGATGTGTGAATGAATGCATGAATGAATGATTGCTCTCATAGCGCAGAACAAGACACACAGGTGGAGAAGTTAAGTCCGTACCACCTGCTTTCCTTTGGTCACCCTCAGCGCTCAGAGCAACCAGCAGGTGGGGGGCTAGACTCCCTGGCATCGTCTGGGCTGGCATGTTATCCTAAGCACATACCAAGTTCCAGAGGTAAAAACTTGAAAGACAGGCAATCCAGTCTCTGAGAAGCTAAGTGTTTGGACTGCAGGAAGCACAGGAAGAGTCTGCCACACACACCCTTACTCCTGAGCAGAAGGTGGATTCAGGGCAGGGCTGTCATATAATCAATGAACGTTCTGTCACTCATCATGCCAATTTCCTGCCAGGACCTTCCTTTTGGGGAAACTGAAGCCCAGACAAGGCAAAGGGACCTGGTGAGCATGATCTGTAACCAGCGCTCTCCTCAGCTCTCACGGGCATTTGCATAACACCTAGTGGAGTTGATTTGGGAGACCTCCGAAGACCCTGCTAGAGGGCTGTAGCAAGAAGCCCAAGCCAGAGAGGAGGGCCTGCAATGGGCCTAAGCATGGGCCTGTGTGGGCCTTTGGGTGAGCATAGGTCGGGGGGAGGGGAACGCGCTCTCCCAGTGGGGAAGGCCATGGTGTACTGGACCCAAGAGAGGGAAACGGTGGACCGTGGCCTTTTCACCCACTCTCCAACCCCAGTCCCAAAGGAAGGAAGAAGGGCTAAGGTAGCCTGGCGGGAAGACTCGTGTCACCCTGCAAATGGTCCAGGGCGAGTCCTACAGCCCAGACTCTCTCAGGCTAACCTCAGGCCTTTCTCCTCCTTCCAATGGGTTGGCCATGGAGTCTGCAAGAAACGGACCCTCCCCAGTGAACGTGCCCAAGTAGGAAAAGCCTCAACCTCCAGGCAGAGCGGGCGCCTGGGTCTTGGCTGACACACAGAGCGACCCAGGTGCAGGGCAATGGGTCGTGCGGCTCCGCTGGTCGGGGTTTTCCCCGGGCCAGGGAGCGGGACGGCGAGGCGGCAGTTCCAACCCCAGCGGCTTTGGATGCCACAGGTATCCTGGTACCCGCTCAAAGGGATCCTGCCGATCGCCACGGGCAACCTGCCCCAGTCTGGATGTTGAGTTACGTAGCAAGTGCAATTAACGTGAGAGGAAAGGGCCTCGGTGGTGGGCCCTTGGTCCGGTCCGTGCAGTTCTGACCCCCTAAGCCCCACCCGTCCATTCCCCGGGCGGGGAGGCTCCGAGCCGCACCAGCACTTGCCCGCGGATTTCCGGTGCGCGTCCCCTCGGCAGGGCCGGTTCCCGCCAGCCGGGGGCTGGGCCGCCGCGACGTTCCCTCCCCTCGCCCCCGGCCGCGAGCTAGAGTGGGGGGCGCGGGATGAAGAGCCGGGGCGCCCCGGGGGCCCTCCGGCCGCCTTCCTACCTGCCGGGAGCCGGGCGCCGTGAGTCCACCCGATACAGAAGCAATGTGGCCGGCGGCCCCCCTCGAGGCCACGGCTTTCCACCACGCTGTCGGGTTGACTTCGTCCGCCACGAACTCCTCAGCTCCCGCGTGGACGCCTCTCCTTTCTGAGGTCCGCCCATCTCTGTCCATCGGTCCTTCCAGCCACTCCCTCTCTCTTCTTCCCCTACAGACGACCAGGGAGGGAAGCCACCGACCGGATCCTCTCGGTGCTCGGGTCCGAACCGCGCCTCGGTGTTCGCCTCGCGCGCCCCTGTGGGGCGCGGCGTGAGCGGTGGGGACGGGGTCCATCCCTCCTCGGGCCCGGGCCGGGCGGGAGCGGGGCGGGGCGGTGTCACTCCACCGAGGAGGAGCGGGGACCGAGCTGGGCGGGCAACGTCGGGCG